TAACTGTGTTTCCAGAAAGCCATTCCATCTTTCCATCAGGACAGCTGCTTCAGAATGGTTTGGGCTGACGAGGGAGGGGGACTTGATTGGGGGAGGGGGAGGGAAAGGGGAGGCGGCGGTGGGGAAGAGACAGAAATCTTTAATAAATAAATAAATAAATTAAAAAAAAAAGAATGGTAGGGAGCATGTTAAAGCCAGTGAATTTCTTGATTCAAGGCACCTTGTTGCCATTCTTTGCCTGTAAAGGGAGTTCCTAGGCCAGAAGCAATATTGTGTGAAAGAACATAACCATGGTTACGTTAGGTAAGTTAGGTTAAGTCTATGAATGATTGTTTTCACAGAATTAATGCATTCAGGAAAGGAAAATTCATAACCAGAATAATTATCTACTCCAATAAGGAAAAGGCATTGTTGTTTTCACAGAGAAAGATACCCAATATATCCACCCTGCCTCCAGATTGTAGTCTAGATTTCCAGGAGATGGTGTCCTACCTGGAGCTCAGTGCTGGTCTCTGCTGCTGCAGATCTGTTACTCAGCAGCAGACATTACAAGGTCAGTCTTGCAGTCCTCATCAGAAGTTAAACTTTATAGATTTGCTTAGGGCTTTGAAGGCTCTTGGTCTGAGTTTCCTAAACATCTATCTATAGTAATAGTAGAGGGGATAGTGGGAGGATTATTGTGCTCGTGATTATTAATAGTGATTGGATATTGTTAGTTTTTGTGTGGGGTTTGTGAATAAATATTTTGGAATTATTGTTTGTAGGAAATGTGCTGAGGTTGAGTAAATAAGGCGAGTGTAGGAAAATAAGTTCATTAAGGCGGTGGCTGCTATTAATGTAGCTAGAATTACGTTGTTATTTTTAGGAGTTCTGTAATGATAGCTCATTTGGGTAAGAATCCTGTGAGTTATGGTAGCTCTCCTGTTAATAGAAGGGTTAGTGAGGTTTGGGGGGAATGCTATTTGTATTTTATTTTATATAGGTGATGTAGACGTGATTGACGTGAATGAGTGTATGTGGAATACAAAGAATATTGGGACGGTTATAGCGATGTAGATTAGGAGATTGAGGATTGTTAGTGATGGGTTGTACGGTAGGATAGAGACTATTCATCCTATATGGGCAATAGATGAGTAAGCTAGGATTTTTCGTGTTTGTGTTTGGTTTAGTCTGTTTCAGGCTCCAATAAGGACTGATATAGTGGCTGATAGGATAGGATTTTAGGGTCTATGAGTTTATGGACTTGGAATAAGATTGATAGTGGGGCGATCTTTTGTCATGTACATAGAATTAGGCCTGTGTGCAGTTTAATGCCTTGTGTTAATTTTGGTAGTCACGAGTGGAAGGTGCTAGCCCTAGTTTAATTGCTAGTGAGATGCTAGTGTGAGGATGCTGTTGTTAGTTTCAGGTTGGAATATCCATAGTCCTAGCTGTTTAAAATTTATAATGATAGAAAGTAGAAGAATTATCAAGACAGTGGCTTGGGTAAGGAAATATTTTGTTGCTGCTTCTGTGGATCGTGGATTTGATTTGTTATCTATTAGTGGAATTATGGCTAGGAGCTTTATTTCTAGACCAACTCATATAATGAAGAGATTGGTGCTGAGAATAGTGACTATGGGTCCTGATATGATTGTGAAGTAAATGATGAGAAGAGTGATTGGATGAATTAGTACCGGAAGGGTTTAAGCCAACATTTTGGGATATGGACCAATAGCTTTATTAGCTGACCTTACTTTTAGGATGGAGTGTATGGGTAGCACGGAGAACTTTGGATTCTCAAGTATAGGTTCAATTCCTATTGTTCTAGAAATAAGAGGGTTTAAACCTCTATGATTTACTCTATCAAAGTAACTCTTTTTCAGACATATTTCTAGGTGTAGGGTGGAATGCTTGCTATGAAGATTGGGATTAATATGTCATATGCAAAAGGCCAGATGAGAGGTAGGAATTTTTTTCTTAGCTGGTGCATAAGTTGGTCATATGAAAATCATGGGTAAGATGCTCAGATTCATAGGAAGAGTGTGGTTAAAAGCAGGGCTTTGATTATGAAGTTTATGGTGTAAAGCTTGGGACTATGTGGGTTATGAAATGGGCCTATGAATACAATTGTTGATAGGGTGTTTATTAGGATACTAATTATGTATTCAGCTATGAAGAATAGTGCAAATGGTCCGGCAGCATATTCGATATTGAAGCCTGAGACTAACTCTGACTCTCCTTCTGTTAGGTCAAAAGGGGCTCGGTTAGTTTCTGCTAAGGTTAAGATAAATCATATTATGTCTAGGGGTCAGGCTGGTACGAGAAGTCATGTTGATTCTTGTGTATATAGTAATAATTGGATTAAGAACGATCTGTTTATTAGAAGTACAGATAGCAGAATGATTGCTATTGTTATCAAATAATGAGGTTGTTTGAGCGATGCTCATAGAGATCCAAATATAGAGTATTTATTTGGAGTTGGATGCTCACCCTGATCATAAAATGGAGTCAACTGATGGGCTTGATGTGGCTTAAAGAAATAGAATTCCTAAGTTGAGGTTGACTGTGGGTGAGGAATTGGCAGTGGAATTCATAGACTTAGGGCTGGTGAGAGGGATGAAGTGGATGTGATAAGGAATAGGGCTGTGGAGGTGGCTAGAGGTCCTAGAGATATTTTAATAAATAGTTTTATTGCATCTGCAAATGATTGGAAAATTCCTCAAGGTCCTACAATGTTTGGTCCTTTCTGTAATTGTATATACCCTAAGATTTCCTGTTCTACTAAAGTAAGGAACACTATGGCAATTAGTACTAGAATTAGGAGGGTTAGAATGTTAATGAAACACACTATTAGGAAGAGCATTTGAATCTCTGGATCAAGGTTTTACATCTTAGGCAATTTCCTGATTCTGCCACCCTAATTATACCCTAGTCTAGGGTGAGGGTTCTACAAACTTATTAAATTGATATAACTTCACATATTAGTTTGTGGGCACTATTGTTAAGGAGTCCCATTTCTCTTGTCCTTTTGTACTGGGAGAAATATTTAATAGATGAAAACCCACCTGGATTGCTCCAGTCTGAACTCAGATCACATAGGATATTAATCATTAAACAAACAAACCATTAATAGCTGCTACACCATTGGGATGTCCTGATCCAACATAGAGGTCATAAACCCTAATTGTCGATATGGACTCTCGAATAGGATTGCTCTGTTATCCCTAGGCTAACTTGTTCTGTTGATCAAAAGTTTTTGAGTCATTTAAATTTTTGGTCACTTTGACTTGTGGGTCTAAGTTAAAAATCATTCTGAGGTTGATTTGTTCTCTAAGTCACCATATCGAAATTGCTAGCTTATGTCTTAGAGTTTGGTCCAGTAGAGAGGTTTGTTGGAAATTTAAGCTAGTAAATTAAAGCTCCATAGGGTATTGTTGTCGTATTATATTATTTCCGCCTCTTCCGGGGAAGGTCAATTTCAGTGATTGGGAGTGAGAGACAGTTGAATCCTCGTTTAGCCATTCATTTCAGTCCCCAATTAGGAACAAGAGATTATGCGACCTTTGCATGGTCAGCATCCAAGTCCACCTCAGCATGTATCATGTCTCCTTAATGCAAGCTTAACCTCTGATTGAAGACAATACTCAGGTCTTAGCTATGTATTACATGGCTTAACTCTCCCATGCAAATACAGTATTTTTTAATATGTCATAATCATACTTAGCATGATATAAGTGTTTTTGATCTGACTAGAATTGCATTCTTAATTTTATAATAGGTATTGATGTCCCTTCAGAGTCATTCTTTTCATATGTCTAACTTAAATAATATACCCACTCAACAGGCACCATTGGAGGAGCTAAATGACAGAAAAGTAAACAAATTTTATATGACAGCAGGCTAGGGAACTTTGAACTGATTGAGTTTGCCTAGACTGAGGGGGACCGGGTGCCCTTGCCTGAGGTCAGTTCTGGGAAGGTTTGCATGGCTCCTGGTAAACAGAAATGCACCGAAGGTGACCTTTCTGGTACATAGACATCCGCATTCGGTGTCTTTTTACTCAACCAAAATCTGTCTTGTTAAGACCAGACCCTCCATTTTTGGGAAAGCAGCTTTGGATCTAATCCCAACCTGCAGAGTCTCTAACCCCACTGTGACACAAAGAAAAATACAGCTCTGATACTAAAGAGATTAAGAGATACTTTCTTCTAGAGTGTGATAAACAATCTGAGAACACAGATTTAGGTTACCCAATTTCCTGTGCCAACACAGAAGCAGTTTCACAAGAACTTTGTAGCTTATCCAAACATAGAAAGTCACAAATCAAGGCAAGTTTAAAATGCAGGAGTGAAAACCTCAGCGAGGCAGGTGCATCAAGATGGGGAAGCCTCTCTGCGGGCAGAAGATGCTGTCTGCTGGCATTCCTATTGTTTTTAAGATGTCTATAAGTTAATAGAGTCTATTGTCATGGGATTGAGTTCTGACAAAGGGAGGCAAACATGGCTGTTGCAGAGAGGCAGCACTTAGCCCACGAGAAGGCAATGAACCTCTGGTCCTGCAATGTTCCCATCTCTCTCCAGTACTGAAAATCAAATCAGTCACTAAGGCTCTGCAGAATCCTTTTACGGGTTTCCCTTCAGTGCCACAAGGCAGCTTCCCTTCAAAGTCCAATGCCAAAGATGACACAGAGTCTCTGCTGAGAAAATGTCTATTGCTTCCAGACAGGATGGTTACATGGATGCAGGTTTGGTTTGTCAGCATTGAGGCTGGTGTTTATTAACATGTGAGTTCCCCTAAAGAAATCCTGAAGCAAAGACACAGAGTTGTTGTGTTCTTTTCAAAGTGACTTAGAAATCCGAACAAATGTTAGCTGCAGCCCTACCTGGTAAAGAGGGGAGAGGGATTTGCACACTCTCATTGCTCCTGAATGCCCTGAATATTCAGTAAGTTGTTTACAACACTTTTGGGCAATTTCCTGTCAGGTGGCTCTGCTAGCAGAAACCTGAAGTGCACCTTACCAGAAATCCTTCTATCTTCTCATTTCCAGTCTGAGCACACAGCACAGCTTGTATGTGCCAGCATTTCCCAAGAAGAGGGAGGAGTCCATGGTGGGAATAAATAGGCATCAGTGTGCACTGGACAGAGCTAAGCAGTAGGAAGGCAGCAACGACCAACATCAGAACTCAGTTGTCCCAGGAGCTGGCAGCAGACATCAGCTTTCAGGTAATGCAAAGGATTCTTACCATCTGGGAACACAGGAAAAACCTTCCCAAGACTGTGTGGTTCTGGTGATGACCTGGAGTCTTGGTTTGGAGGAGGGGTAATGAATTGTTCCTGGGTCACTGAAGTGGAATCAGGGAACATTTCTGGGAGGCACATAAATCTCTCCAGTCTGGGACTTCATGTTTATGGAAGATGCAGGGACAATGAACATTGCTTCTGTAGAAAGAATGGAGCCTGCTCTTTTCCGCAGTCCACAGGCAGGGAGTACTGAGACCTTGTCTATCTTACCTAGGGCTGAAAGAGCTAAGGAGGGACAGGAAAGTTCCTCTGGAGGAGGTGCCTTCCCCGCCATGCTTACAGTTAACAGGAGATGCCTGGGCGTCAGGAACCCACTTCCCTTGTCGGTCCCATGGCCGAGCAGAGGGTCTTCAGCCTCAACTAGGGAAGGGAGAAAGCAGTAGCTCAGCCACTGAGCCAGGCCTCCTGCTGCACACATGGAGCAGCCCCTTTCCTCTGGAAACAATTCTGACACAAAATAGTGTTCAGTGCTTCTCCAAAGAAATGCTTGCATCAGTAGGAAGTAAACATGGAGTGAAGGCAGCAACTAACTGAGGTCCCCGGCTCCTCTGCAGGAGAGTAACAGCCCTGGGGACAAGCAGCTTAGCTCCAGCCTTCCCTTCTCTGCCCCCTCCAATTCCCTCTGTGCTCTTCTGGTCTTCTCCCCCCTCCACCTTCCAATTGGCTCCTCCTCCCTCCCTGGCTTTTCCTCCTACTATCTTGCTGGTCTTCTTTCTTCCACTTTCTCACTCCTTGATTCCTCCATCCCTCCCCTGTTTCCTCCCTTCCCTTCTTCCTCTCCCTTCTATGTATTCATCGTCCACTTTCACCTTTGGACACCTGAGCAAAGGGACAGAGGCTAAAGGTGGATGCCTGTGTTTACCATGACCACAAGTTTTCAACTGTAATCCTTTAGGATGCCCATGGCCCCCTCTCCAGGGGTATATGGAAGAATAGCCCTCTAGACATCCCTAAAACTAACCCCCGATATCCCCATAATAAGTCAGACAACTGTCAATAATGGAACCTGATCACTCACCAGACTGCCCAGAGAGGTCCACCCAGTTGCTTGCTACCACACAGTCAGGCCAAGAGCCAAAACCCAGTCTGGTCCAGGTGTCATCTTTCTTCCCACCAGCAGGCCTTCCAAGTCTGAGGTGCAGACCACACTTTAGTCGCTGGCAGCACTAAAAGAACCTTCCCTGTTTGTCTTTCTCCCTCCTGTGCCCAGGGGTGCCAAGGCTGTGGCTCCGCACCAGATGTCTCCAGCACTGCCTCTCAATTATTCCTCCCCAGGCTTCATGCACCAGACTCAGTCAAGGGCCTTGGGATTTCCCAGGTTCTCATCAAGAGGCTCGGTTAGGGCCTGTGCTAGCTACTGCTGCAAGGGTCCTAAGTTCTACCTACAGGGAGGAGAGACATGGGGGAGTGCAAAGGAAGAGGGTTCTCCTCTAATGTATCTTTCTGCAGAGAGAGAATGAGAGAAGGCATTCTGATCAGAAAGGGCTCAGGCCACCCCACACCCCTGCTGCACTTCTGGCTTGCTCTGTGACCGGGGATGTCCATGCCCCATTCAGGATCTTGGTTCTCTGTAGGGAGATTGGCTGCTGCAGCAGGACTTCCTCCAGTGCTGATAACAGGGAGCACATGACAAGGCGCTGCCATCTGCAGGGCCAGAGCTCCTCCCATGCACCTTCAAGGAGGCAGCAGGGGCAGCAGAGCAGGGACACAATGCAGCCCTGTGGGAGGACACGGATTTGCTCAGGGCACCACCTTCCCCTCCCAGACTCAAAGGAGCTTTGCTTTTCAGCCTGGAGAACAGAGAAGATGGTGGTCCTCCGTGTGGCTCTGGGGCTCTTGATGGTGGGGATCTGCCCTGCTGTCGTCTCCCAACAAGATGGCACACCGGGAAGTGACACCGAACTTCAGGTAGACCAAATCAATGGGACACGAGTGGACAGTCTAACACTGGCCTCCATCAACACTGACTTCGCCTTCAGCCTCTACAAGGAGCTGGCTTTGAAGAATCCAAATAAAAACATCGTCTTCTCCCCACTCAGCATCTCAGCTGCCTTGGCCGTCCTGTCCCTGGGAGCAAGCAACAACACCCTGCAAGAGATTCTAGAAGGTCTCAAGTTCAATCTCACAGAGACCCCTGAGGCAGACATCCACCGGGGATTTGGGCAGCTCCTCCTCATGCTCAGCCAGCCAAGGGACCAGGTACAAATCAGCACAGGCAGTGCCATGTTTGTTGAAAAACGCCTACCGATACTGGAAGAGTTCAAGGAGAAGGCAAGGACACTGTACGAAGCCGAGACCTCTACGACTGACTTCCTGCAACCTCATAAAGCCAAAAAGCTCATCAATGACTATGTGAGGAAACAGACCAAGGGGAAGATCAAGGAACTGATCTCAGACCTGGATAAGGATACATTAATGGTGCTGGTGAACTACATCTACTTTAAAGGTGAGGATGGGCACTGGGTGGGGAATGGAGGGTAAAGATATTATCTGGGAACCTTGGATCCTTATGCTGACCCCTGGGAAGGAGGGGTTCACACCCTGGAGGCAGGGGTGGCTCACATCTCTATACCCACAACCCCTAGGATGTTTTGATATAGTTGTGTTTCCTGGTACATGCTCATCAGAAGCCCTCAGGTCTCGGTGTAAAAGTGCTGAATTTGACTGTGACTTAAACTTACTCCCTAGCAGAATGCATAGCTCCCAAGTCCAGTCCTTCTTGAGTGTGCAGAATCTGTGATTTCTCCCTGCAGAGACCGGGTCCCTCATTCTGCCCACTCCAGCATCTCTAACATGCTCCTGTAGAAGGTGTCCATCCCTGGTAGAGAGCCTGTTCCTAGGAGGGTCCCAGTGTGCTGGGGACTTTGTGACCTAAGGAGTGTGCCTGCCCATTTATTTATTTATTTATTAAAGATTTCTGCCTCCTCCCCGCCACTGCCTCCCATTTCCCTCCCCCTTTTTCGATCAAGTCCCCCTCCCTCGTCAGCCCAAAGAGCGATCAGGGTTCCCTGCCCTGTGGGAAGTCCAAGGACTACCCACCTCCATTCAGGTCTAGTAAGGTAAGCATCCCAACTGTCTAGGCTCCCACAAAGCCAGTACGTGCAGGAGGCTCAAAAACCCACTGCCCACTCTTAAGAGGGAAAGTAGCCTGGACATAAGCCCTGAAGAGCCCCCAGGGCAATTCCTATTCAGTACGTCTCCCTGGAGCCATTTCTGGATGAGCTGGACCTGGGCTGGGAAAGCAGGGATGCAGGAGACTAATAAGAGGGCAGTGTCAGCCAGGCTGTATTTAGTGCATGGCTGCTTCGGGGAATTTTGCTTCTGTAAACTAACTAGCCCAACAGCATGAAGGTCAGAATTCCAGTCACATGTCAGGGCCAGCAACCCTGAAGAGATTGGGTGCAAGGGAGTTGGGAGACACAGCTGGAGATATAATTGCTACGGATATCGAGGGGCCATCCAGAGCCTACACCCACAACACCCTGCCTGATAGAGACCAGGGCCCAAGGTGACAGCCCAGAACTGGTGCCTGACAGAAGTCGTGATGTAATCATATGGGGTGGGTCTGGGGTTAGATGACAGATAGTCCAGGGCAGGCTGTGAGTTGTCGGCAGAAAATCAAGGTGTCCATGGACAGAATCAGGGACTAGGAGGACAGAAGACATGAGGACAAGTTGGCTGCAGAGCTGCTGTGAGCTGGGAATGGTGGAAACAGAGTGATGGTCTGAAGGATGGCTGGGTTGTCTCTCTAAGCTTAGGACCCATAACCAAGATTGCTGCCTGTGAGATAGGGATGCTTGTTTAATCTACTAAATCCCAGTTCAAGAAATTGTTTCAGTACCAAGTCCTGCAGGCTGTGTTGGTAATGGGGACATAAACTAGGAATCCATGATAAGTCAGGACAAAATATCTGTGGAGGTGGCCACAGCCCCTATGTGAGCCGAGGACATATTACTCACACTTATCCCACAATCTGTGGACTCAGGGATTGGTCATGGTGTGGGAGAAGTCAGTCTCTTTTGTCCTGTTTCTTCTAAAGCCTGTCCCAAAGCCATTGCCTTCTAGACATGTTTCCTCCTGAGGAAGAATGGGTCCCCAACTCTCCCCACAATCCAATGTCATCACTTTAATCTCATGTCTCTGTTATACTCCCCAGGCTCAGAACCCTAACAGTTGCTCAAAACAAAAGTAACCAGGCTTTGATTTTTAATGTCCCCTTTTCCAAACCAAGCTTGGAGTTTCTTCTCACCTTTAGGAGCTTGTCCACCTCCAGTGCAGCATTCACCACCCCTGAGGGACACTCCGTGTTGTGTAAATAGATTGATTGCTGTCACACGTAGAAGCTGAGCAGAAATTGGTTACGGTGAGTCTCTCAGGTGATGTTATTATCAATCCCTGTCCTCTTTAGGAAAATGGAAGACGCCCTTTGACCCTGATGATACTTCCGAGTCCAAATTCTACTTGAACAACAGGAAGTCTGTGAAGGTGCCCATGATGAGCATTGAGGACCTGAGCACACCCTACTTCCGGGATGAGGAGCTGTCCTGCACTGTGGTGGAGCTGAAGTACACAGGCAATGCCAGCGCCCTGTTCATCCTCCCTGACGAGGGCAAAATGCAGCAGGTGGAAGCCAGCCTGCAGCCAGAGACCCTGAGGAAGTGGAGGGACTCTCTGAGTTCCAGGTGTGTGTCTGCAGACCCAGAGCTGGTCTGGCTCCATATGCTGCTGTCGGCCCGAGGCCCAGTGTCCCTGTACCTCACAGGGTAGAGAATCAGTAGGGACAGGTGGAGCAGAGGTGAATTTTTCTTCTCTGAGTCAGTAGTTTGGGGCCTGATTTTTCTGTCATTTT